ATGGGGATTCTCGGTGGGGAAGGGGACAAAGCCCCCCTCTTTATTATTAAGTTTCCCTGAAAGAGATAGCGCAGGGAGAGGGTGGGTGGGCTGGCGCCCCCAGGCTGTCCCTTTAGCATCCCCTGCTTGTGAGCGATTCCCTCCCAGGTTAGATCCCCCACCCCAGGGACCCCTTTGCCTGCCTCCTGTATTTGGTGTCTGCAGCTGGAAAGAGAGAGGCTACCTCGTCTCGGGCTAGCTAGCCATTCTGCAGCACAGCGGGGTGGGGGTGGCTGGGGGGGGGGGGGAAACCAGCCAAGAGAGGGAGAGAGAGAGAGAGAGCGAGAGAGAGAGAGAGAGAGAGAAGATAGGCATCAAAGCGAGAGGAATGGGGAAGAGCCTTGTCTAACTTATATTTTAAAAACCCTCCTCCTCCTTCTGCCACTTCTGGGCTTCACCTTAAATTTCCACTTGGGAGACTTTTCAGGCCTGGAGCAAGGGACTCTCTTGCTCCCTGTGTGTTTTAAGGTTCTGGTTTTGGAAAGCCACCCTCCTCTTTCCACCACCCCCCTCCAGGCCAGGCATGTACCCATCTGTCTCGTCCGAGCTGGGTCACCCTGACCCGGTTGTCTCTCGCCAAGAGCACCCTTTCCACAAACTGCTGTTCCTGGCGGGGGCGAGACAGTCTCTCAGGGAAGGGACCCGCCGGCCCAGGAGGTCTTCCTGCTCTTCCTCCATCCTCTCCTCCGCTGGGCATGGGCCTCTGCGGCGGGTAGGCCCTGCTGCAGCGCTGGCGCGACGCCAGCCATCGCTCGCTTCCTTCCGTCGCAACGCTGCAGAATAGAGGGGGGGTGTGTGGCAGCGGTCTGGCCTGGTAGAGATGAAGCATCTTGTGGGGTGCTCAAGGACCCAGAGACCTCTTGAGCTCGGTGGTCCCCTTCCAAGCAGCCTCCTAGGGATACCTAGATCTACTTTGGAGTAACTGGTAGCCTATAGTCCTCTCTCAGGGAAAGAACAGCTGGCATCAATCCACAGGGCAGAGTGGAAGCATCTCTTTGATTGACTAGGTGACCATGGCCTCTTCTCAGCCCTTCAGCACCCGCTTGAGTTGAAGGGACAATGGGATGTGAAACTAGAGAATGTACTGAAGATTCTTCCTCTAAGAATTCACAATACAGTATGCTGGCTAAACAATGGGATATTTAATCCCCCCTCCCCCCAGATATTGTATTACAGCATAAACCCATGTGTTTGGGCACGCACACAAAGATGAATGTGGCTCTCTTTTTATGGGGGGGGGAAGAGAAGTCTTTCTGAATCCATTCCCCCTTGTTTTCGATGGAATAATGTGATAGAATAAGGGGCGACGTGGATAGATATGCACATGTGATCGCACAGATCTGCAGGCAGAGAAACCAAATACATTTGGGGTGCATTACATATATATTAGGGATTGTGTGTAAGGTGTATTCGCACCTTGTTTTTTTCTGTACTTGTATGCAGGTACGGCTGTACAGATTAAAAGTGACCCTGTGTGGGCTTCTATGCGTGGCTTATGTGTGTCTCAGTGTGGGATCTGTTCACCCTAAGTGTGAAAATCTGACCACTAAGAGGTGTGTGTGTGTGTGTGTGCTAATTATGATGCACCTGTCTGTTTGTGTGCCTAACGTGGTTTGGGTACAGTCTGGACTCATGTGGTCTACTGGCTCTTTCCAAACATCCCAAAATTTTGGCAAGGATTTAAAACCACCGCAGGCGTTCCTACAGGAGCAGAGTCAGTGAGAATGGGCTGTTTTGTCTCCCATTGCTCTCCTTGAGGAGGGGTGATCCCCAGCTGCTGACATGAAGCAGGGTCCAGCATTTTCACTCTCTCTGGGAAGGACATCTCAAGGTCAGTCAAGGTCATGACATATACTCTTTGGGCCTTGAGACATACCTTTATTTATTTGTTTCCTTTACATTCACATTCCATCCTTTCTAGCTTCTGGGTAGTGGCTAGGCCTGGCCTTGAACATTAGGAAATGATCGGTCCTCTCCAGTAGAACCTCTTCTGTCGTTCAAAAGGTGCCCCCTTCCTGAACTTCATCTGCAATGGATGATTCCTCTGACCAGCAACTGGAAGATGGAAGGGGATATGAGATATTTGCAGAACAGATGGCAGTTTTTCTACCATGATAGTATGGTAGAAACATTGTCACGTATAGCATTCACGCTCATCTTTTTCCTGTCCTCCTGTAGTATAGAATAATTTTTTTAAAAAGTGCTACGTGAGCCATGCAAGTGGCATTCTATTGGTCGATATAAATAGTGTAAGTAAGATTAAACAGGTCTTGCAAGTTTTTGAAATGCTTTAGAAACCTGCAAAACCTATTTGAGCATAGTGGGAGAAAGATTTTTCTTAAAAAAATGAAACGCAGGAACCACAGTCTCTGAAAAATCTAAAAAAGATTTAGATCTTTTTAGATCTGTCCTTGGCCAGACTGAGCAGGTATTGGCGGAAGCAAAGGCCAGAATAGGCTACCTTGTAAACCTCCAATTCCAGCAAGTCTGTGGGAACTAATAGATGACCCTAATCTATAGGTTCGGTCTGTCAAAACAAAACAAAGAGGATCGAATAGTTCGAAACATATTCCTGCAAGAAGAGACAGCCAGATATCAGTATTGGGCCTAGTCTGGACGGTTTTCCTTTTGAACTATTTTGCCTGGTGGCATGACATTGTGACTCCCCAGCCATGAGAGAATTCTCCAGCTGCGAGGAAAAGGAACTTTGGATGTGCTCAGAAGCATCCTCGCTCATTCCAGAAATCCATGTCCGGCACAGGAAATAAATTCTGGCATTAAACCTTGTTTGCAAATTGAGCCTGCAAGGAAATTTTATGGTCACTCAACAAATCTTTTGCGTATCTACTTTCAGTAATGGCTTCTCCCTACCTTGTAAGGCAGGCCAAAGATAGATTGAGGGAACGAGGCTTAGAGAGAGCCCAAGGCAGTCCAGTAAGGTCAGCAGCTTAGTTCACAGATGCTTCTCATAACTCCCATCCTACAGTAGCTTCCCAGAAAAATAAAAGTCTATTTGAACCATGGACGTATGCAAGCAGGTGGCTCTTGGGGGCTTAGAAACCTCGCATGCAAGAAGCTGGAAACCGATGCATGAGTTGACCCAAAATCAGCCGTCCTGCATTCAGCACACCTGACGTTCCCAACATTGTCTAGGGCAGTGGTCCCCAACCTTGGGCCTCCAGATGTTCTTGGACTACAACTCCCAGAAGCCTTCACCACCACCTCTGCTAGCCAGGATTTCTGGAAGTTGAAGTCCAAGAGCATCTGGAGGCCCAAGGTTGGGGACCACTAGTCTAGGGAACTGCACAGACTGTGTTGCGACACTGCTGAAGAGGTGGCCTTCAAAATCACGGACTATTCATCCAGCAGGTACACGTGTATACATCTGCACATGTGCGCTGAGGTTTTGGCACAAATGGAAATGGCCAGTTATGGGAGCTAAGGTCTCGAAAAAGGCATTTCTCTAAGCTCTGTGTATGGGTATGCAAAAGTTACATTATACAAAGGCAAACCATCATTCTGTCTAACTTGACACTGTCTCCTGGGCCTGTTAACCTTGGACTGCCTTTATGATAAGGTGCCTGGAATTGAATTGGGGGCTGTATGCACACAAATAATGGGTTTTGCTAAGAAGCCACAGAATTGTTGGCTGCCTAGCATGATGCCAGGAGGGTGCAGTGGCTGCACCGCTGGATTGGGATATGAGATAACTAGGTGCAGGTGAGCACCTTGAGATATTACAAGGCTTCACATCTCATTTTGGATGATCCTGGAAAAGTCCTCCCAGGATTTTTCATTGGAAAGCAGAGTGGGGCAAAGTTACTTTTTTGTTAACTTCTAGAATCCCAAAGGGAGAATGACCTATGGGGAGAGGGGAGTGGGGTTACAGTCCATAACAATTGTATGGACTACAACTCCCAGTGGCCTTCCAAGCTGGAAGGATTCTGGGAGGTGTAGCTCAACACCATCTCCCTTAACAAAACCCCAAGTTCTGCAATCTGGTAGGTGAGAACGTGATGATCCTAACGGTTAGAGGATAGTTTCACCCATTGTTACACCCAGTGGTCAGAATGAACCCACAGACTGAAAGAGAGAAAAGGGCCATTTAAAAAAAAGAGATTCCTAATAGAGCAACAATACTATAGAGCAACAATAAACCACAGACAAATCAAAGCAATAAATAAAGCATGAAAATAAAAATATTGCAGGAATTCTTTAGTCCAATGCCTGACGAAGTCAATGAAACTGTGTGATTGATTCACTTCAAGGATTTGTACCAGTGGTTCCCAACCTTGGACTCAAACTCCCAGAAGCCTTCACCACTAGCTGTGCTGGCCAGGATTTCTGGGCGTTGTTGTCCACGGACATCTAGTGGTCCAAGGTGAGGAACCACTGATCTAGATAATTTAACATTTTGTTCCAACTGTGACCAGCCAAACTTGTGGATGCTCACAAATAAGGAGAAGATGTTGGCTTTCCTGTTGTGTTCACCCATTGTAATCAGAGGAATACTGCGTCTCAATATGGAGGTTCCACAAGCCATTGATAGATCTATCCTCCATGAATTTGTATGATGCTTCTTAAACGGAGTGAAAGATAATAGATATTAGGGCATGATGTGTTCTGTAAACAAATCAAGCTCTATGTCAATGAGGTCCTGCAGTACTTGTGGAAAATGTGTTCAGGCTTGGACTTTGGCAGGTCTCCTAAGGGCTGGAATTGTACCGCTGTGGAGCATCCATCAAGAAGATACTGCCCCTTTCCACCCTTTTATGGCTGCTTTCTCCATTAATAACTCCCATCATCCCCAGCTTGCATCGCCAGGTTGAGGAAGCATGGGGTAGCGATCTCTGTGATCAAAAGATCAGGATTCTTGATAAGGATTTCTCAGAAGGACTCTTGAATCTTTCGGTGCAAAAAGGAGATGTCTATATGCCTGCATTAAAGGCATCATGTATTGTCCCAAGTGTTCTCTAAACAGTTAAAGTTTAGGAACAAACAATTCCTATCTGAGATGCCTTATTTTTATTTAATTAGAAGACTCTAGTTTTGCTGGACAGTGACTATTCCAGAGTTTACTCCTAATATTATAGGAGCTGTCCAAGGTCCTGAAAATAAATTCAGCACCTTGGAGAGATCACGTTGGCAGATCCATTGCCTTCAGAAAACTGGTATCACCAGCTGCCATATCTACGTAGCACGTGGTTCAAGCTGCCCTTGAATGTCCTTGAAATGACCCAATCGAGTTCATTTTCTGGAGGTACAGGTTGTTGTTGGTGGGAGCTGTCATCTGGATATTGGGAAACCTTAGCAGAATGAAGTGACTGTCTCTAGGTTGAACCCTTTCGTCTCTGTTGATCTCTCTTCCATACAGTATGGGCGCTCAGATAGCTATCGCGTGGCAACCACGCAAGACAAGAATGATGACAGCTCCTCGCCGAAGAAGACCAAAGCACAGCAGAAGGTCCGAGATCTGGATGATCTCAAGAAGGAAGTGGCGATGGTGAGTGATGAGCAGACTCCTATCCTGGAAGTCTCCTTTGCATATTTCACAGGTGGCTGTTGGGGGGCATCTAGCTTGGTAGCAGCAGATGTCTGAAGAGCTTTGTCAACGTGGCAGAAGAAGACAGCAGAGCCCCTGTAATGTACACCTATTTTGTATTTTGCAGACGGAGCACAAAATGTCTATTGAGGAGGTGTGCAGAAAATACAACACAGACTGTGTGCAGGTACAGAAACCCTACAAAGTGGTTTTTTTTGTGTATGTGTTGTGGTGCTATATTTCTGTTTTTCAAAGACTGGGGATGGAGGGCGGCGCATAGCAGTCACCCTTCTGTAGCATGACGGATCTGGCTGAAGCCACGGGCAACTTGTTGAATGAATGGGGAATGCTTTCGCCAACATTTCAGGGCAGTGCCCCCATTCCAGTTCTGAGCTGCCGGTGGCTGACGGTTGTGGAGAACAGTGAACTAGCAGAAATCACCAGAAAAGGACCTGGCGCTGGCTGAGCAGAAAAAAGACGGATGCAAAAGAAGATAATAATTTGTCTTCTGGATACAACTTGGACCTGCTTAGGTGCCACTATCAATCATTTAGAACAGTGGTTCTTAACCTTTGTTACTCGGATGTTTTTGAACTGCAACTCCCAGAAACCCCAGCCAGAACAGTTGGTGGTGAAGGCTTCTGGGAGTTGCAGTCCAAAACTCCTGAGTAACCCAAGGTTAGGAACCAGTGATTTAGAATAATCAGGAGCTGAACTTGTAACATAGAACACTTCCGAACTTTCAGCCTCCATCTCTCCAAGCATTTTGGCCATTATATTTCTCTTCCTTCCCCTCTTGCGCTATGGCTATGACGCAGCTGATGCTAGAATGACTTTGAGCCTTGTATGTGCGTGGGTGGCTGGTGGGTGGAGGACAGCAGGAGGAGGAGAGGGAATGGCCATCAACTAGCCTTCTCCAAAGAACCACCCTCCAAATGCTTTTGACTACAACTCCCATCATTACAAGCCAGACACTGGCTGATGGGGGGGGGGTTGCAGTCTGAAACCTTTGGTGGGTGCCATGTTGGAGAAGACAGGTTGCGTGCCTAATGAGTTCTGTGTCTCGGGAACTTTGATAGGTGAGTCAGAGGCAAAACACAGATTGGTTGTCGGAAGGCATGAGGATTAAGCTGAAAAGATGAAGATCTGAAAGGAAGAAGAGGTAATGAGGTTGTCAATAGTGACTCTGGAGACATTCTGATTATTTCTCTTCCTCCTCACTAGGGTCTGACCCACAGCAAAGCTGCAGAGATTCTGGCCCGAGATGGCCCTAATGCACTTACCCCACCACCCACCACTCCTGAATGGGTGAAGTTTTGTCGACAGCTCTTTGGGGGTTTCTCCATTCTCTTGTGGATTGGGGCCATCCTTTGCTTCCTGGCCTACGGCATCCAGGCAGGGACAGAGGACGACCCAGCAGGGGACAACGTGAGTTGTTGTTGGAATTGCATATTTAGACTGAACTTCTTTTTCTCTATGGGCAATTTAATTGAAAAAGACAAATGACTTTTCTGGGTGAAAGTTCCAAATTCTTTTCCTTTCTTCTGTTCCTGCCCTCTAACAGTTGTACCTCGGTATTGTCTTGGCTGCTGTTGTCATCATCACCGGTTGTTTCTCCTACTATCAAGAAGCCAAAAGCTCTAAGATTATGGAGTCTTTCAAGAACATGGTGCCCCAGGTACGGGATGAACACAAGGAGTCAGTTAATAGGATTTCTAAGCACCCAACAGCTAAAAATTGGCATTCCTGTGCCAGTCTCTGAGATGAAGGTGAATGGTAACCTCTCTGCCTCATACTGCGTCATGCTCTCACATGTCCAACTTTTTTTGGTGAAGAAATAGGCCCAGCTTATCTGGGTTTCTCGGACACATCAAGGCATTTTTTTAAGGCTTGGCATGATTTAACACAGTGACCCTTGATCCATGGGCTATAATGCACATTGTGCTTTCATTTAAATCCTGTAGCCATGTCAAAATAACATCAGAACATGTAAACATTGAAGAATGCCAAAACAAAACTGAAGGATTAGGAAAAAGCACTGCTAGGGAGAAGTTTTACGTGTCTGCTACTTTCCATTTCATTCACTCAACTCTTCAGTTGAGTATAGAAGGAACTGAATTTTCGTATGTAAAAAAAAAGACAGACTTTAAAAAGTACAATCAACCGTAATCTACAAGGATGATAGACTGAAGAGTCACAGAACACTTGCTTTAGATTATGTAGCTCAAATTCTAGATCTAAATACAGATTTACCCTAAATTACTGTATCTATGAACAAGTTCACTGCACATCAATTATCCTGTGTGGCAACAGTAGTAATGGGGCATCTTTAAAAGTTGTGAGGATTTAAAAGTTGTGAGGATTGATCAGATGGCATATTGACAATTATTGATACAGTTAAGTGTGGGGCTTTTCAAAAGTTTGAGTGCTACATATGTGATAAATAGCAAGGGTGGAGACCTTAGTCACAGGACTTGCATTGGTGATTCAATGCAGACTTGACTTGGCCTTTTCTTTTTCAATGACTCGGACTCAAGTCGCCACTTGGAACCCACCCACCCCACCCCTTTTTTCTGGGCAAAAAAAGTTTATTTTTGATAGAGACTTAGATTTGGAACTCAGGACTTGGTACCAAAGACTTAGATGCACACTTGGGACTTGCACCCAAAGATTTGCTGACATCCCTGGTAAATAGTAACAATATGAACCTTAAAAGTTCTATTGCCGTATTTTTCCGTGTATAAGACTCCCCACTTAAGAAACCTAAGTGGGGCTTAGCAAGTGTAGGGGGAAAGGGATCAAAGCACTACAGGATCACTTTGATCCCTGCTTTCCACTTGTTTTTGTTCTCTCCTCAGCTTACTTACGTGTATAAGATGACCCTCAATTTTTAGGCTAAAGATTTTAACAAAAGTATAGTCTTATACATGGAAAAATACGGTACTTCCAAGTGTCTTGCAGACAGTATTCTAGGTAGTGCATTTTAGTGGCGAGGCATCATTGAGAAATCAGAAAGTCTGCCTATGTATTTAAGCTTGTCCCTGTTATCCCATAGCAAGCCCTGGTCATCCGGGAAGGAGAGAAGATGCAGCTTAATGCCGAAGATGTGGTGGTTGGTGATCTAGTAGAGGTGAAAGGAGGAGACAGAGTGCCAGCTGATCTAAGGATCATCTCAGCTCATGGCTGTAAGGTGAGACCTCCAGTACTGTCTAGATTTGAGCCTGTGTTCCTGTGAACAGATTGTTTGCCTCCAACATTTGGAGGCTCCTTGGCCATTTGCCAAGTCATCTCAATCTCTCTCCCTCATTTTCAACCAAACCAGAGAGAAGGTTCATGTTACTGGCGGCAGGGTTGTGTAACGCACAGCCGTATCTTTGCATGGGATTCGCTTGGCTGTGGAGGCTCTCTGGATCGGGGCCAAAACATGTCTGTCTGTGTGGGCCATTCTCCTACTTGATATCTTCCCTGCCAACCCCTGCAGGAGAACTGTCAAAATATTACATTCATCCAGACCCTGACATTGAAGTCTATCCTGAAAGTTAAACTTTGATATAAAGAAGAAATTCAGAAATTCAAGCCATGTTCTTGGAGTCCCCTGGATATGGCACTAGGAGTGAATACAAAACTTTTGCAAAATTGATAATCTCACATTGCGGTCTTTTCTGGATTTCTTTGCATTTGTTGCTGTTGACCTGTCCGGTTTGAGAATCTGAAGATCTCATATGTAAACACCCACATCCTAATTAAAAAATGATTATGATCTGGGTGGAAAGTTTTCAATCACATTTGTTCCACCACATGAACCCAATGTGTGGCATTTTCTTTCCAGGTGGATAATTCTTCCTTGACTGGTGAGTCAGAGCCACAGACTCGGTCCCCTGACTGCACTCATGACAACCCTCTGGAAACAAGGAATATTACTTTCTTCTCTACCAACTGCGTAGAAGGTAAAAGGACTCTCTCTCCTTGTGTGTGTGTGCGGTGCTGAGGGGCTGCTGAAGAATAATTTAGGCAACTTATGAACTATAGCTCCCAAAATGTCCCAGCCAAGCATGACCACACTGGTGCTGTAGGATTCTGGGATGTGTAGTCCAAAATGTAAACATTCGCCCTCTATGAAACTTGGCTGTAGGGCAGCAGATTATATTAAATCGGGATGTGCTCATGGACCCTGCATCAATCACCAGCTTAAATTAATGTGATGGGTCATTTACTCTCGGCAAAGAATCCTGGGAGCTGTAGTTTTGTGAGTGGGGGACAGAGCTAGGACATTTTAGCAATAGCTCTGAAGCACCATGAAAGCAAAAAATGATCAAAGGGCAGCTCAGGGGCTCCATGAGCTTTCTGGTGTATTCCCTCCCCAAGCCTCTCCCGACCTCTACACCACAAAGACCCCATTAAAAAACCTCTAAATACAAATCTTGCCATTCCATAGATTCCTGGGGGCAGGACATGCATGGTGAGGGGGACCGAATTTCATCCCCACAATGGCTGTCTTGAAAGGTCTTTCTTGAAGACCAGAAGTGACCAGCTGAACACTTCCTGTTTCTAAATAAATCAATCTAAAACAAACAAACTGGGACAAAATTGATAATGCGTGCATAATTTGCATATTTGGCCCTTTCCTCCAAAGCTGTTTTTTGGGTGATCTTTGGGACAAGTTGACTGTGAGTGTTTGTGATGCTGCCAAGTTCTTGTGAAGGGCAGAAATTGTCCCTACCCCCTTAGATATTCCCTGCATTAAGGGAATTAATTTGTTGAACTAGAAATGTTGAGTAATCTAATTTGTTGGTTAATCTGTTGATTAGTTTTTTAAAAAAGAACTAGATTATTAAGATTCAAAGTACAGTGGTACCTCGCAAGACGACAACCCTGCTAAACGACGAATTCACATAACAATGACTTTTTGCGATCGCTATAGCGATTCGCAAAACAGTCATTCCAATGGGCAATTTTCGCTGGACGATGATTTGGTCTGTGCTTCGCGGACCGTTTATTTGCAAGATGACGATTTCTACAGCTGATTGGCAACTTTGTAAAATGGCTTCCCTATGTTTTCGGGACCTATGCTTCGCAGGACAGCCATTTTAACAGCTGATTGGCGCTCACAAAATGGCTGCCCTATGGGCGATCTTCGCAAAACGACGAGGTATTTTCCCCATTGGAACGCATTAAACGGGTTTCAATGCATTCCAATGGGGAAATGGTTTTCACATGACGATGATTTCGCTAAACAGTGATTTTCATGGAATGGATTATCATCGTCATGCGGGGTACCACTATAGTAGAATATTTATTGCTGAACATGACTGCAACAAGTGGTCATGACTATGAGGAAGAATGACATGCGTTGGTGTTTTAACCTTAAAACAAACAAATTCCAAATGAATGGCTAAAAAACAATGAATTAAGGTAACAACAATTTATTCTGAACGGATTATTTCCTAGCGGTGGGCACTTTCAATAGCCGATGCAGTTAAGCCACCTTGGGTCCTCTTGAGGATAAAGGTGTGGTATGAATATCATAAATAAATATTAATAAAACTCTTATGCAAACTGCAGTTCCCAGTATTCTTTTTAGATGGTTGTGACAAAAACAAGGTATTAGGAAGCTGTCTTATAACAAGGTTATAGCACAGTCAATGCTTGGCTGGCTAAAAGGCATTCCAGGGCTTCAAGCAGTATCCTTTCTTAGCCTTATCTGGAGATCCTTTGTATGTAGATGGTAGTCTTCCATCTTACTACTAACAAGTGCCAAACCTTCTTAGCTTCCAAAACGAGAACTAGAGAGAAAATGTTCCAGTCACCTTGAAAGAAGGATCCATATACTCCATAGAGGAGTTTTCTATATGTTCTGTCTTTTTATAACCTTGCTGGTCTGCAACCATAATAAAGAATGATGATGATGGTGAAAATCAGATGAGATCAGTTTGTTCAGAGAAATATACAGTGGTGCCTCGCATTACGACATTAATTCGTTCCAGCGAAATCGCTGTATAACGAAAACGTCGTAATGTGATATTAAAAAGCCCATAGAAACGTGTTGAAACCGGGTTAATGCGTTCCTATGGGCTTGAAACTCAGCGTCCAGTGAAGATCCTCCATAGCGTGGCCATTTTCGGTGCAGCGAGGAATCCATCCCAGAAAACAGCGTTCAGCCATTTTGTTTACCTGGTGGCGATTTTGGAACCGCCGATCAGCTGTTAAAAAATCATCGCTTTGCGAGAATCGGTTCCAGAAGCAGGGAACCGATCATCGCAAAGCAAAATTCCCCCAAAGGAAACATCGTTTTGCCATCGCTTTTGCGATCGCAAAAACGTTGACGTCAAGCGGTTTCATTGTTAAACGGAGCGCCCGTTTTGCGGGGCACCACTGTAGTAGAAAACAAAATGAGAGTAAATTCAACGTAAACTTGTAAAATAGAGATATGCCCATGGAGTCCTCTCTTACCCCACCAGGCACAGCACGTGGGGTTGTCATTGCTACTGGAGACCGCACAGTGATGGGCCGAATTGCCACCTTAGCCTCTGGCCTGGAGGTGGGCAAGACCCCCATTGCTAGGGAGATAGAACATTTCATCCAGTTGATCACTGGCGTGGCTGTCTTCCTGGGTGTTTCCTTCTTCGTCCTCTCCCTGATCCTGGGCTACTCCTGGCTGGAAGCTGTCATTTTCCTTATTGGCATCATTGTGGCCAACGTTCCGGAGGGGCTTCTGGCGACTGTCACTGTAAGTACCATGGGCTGATGGGGCAGGAAAGTGTGGGAGAAGGGAGCTAGTCCAGATGCGGCCTCTGCATTTTCCTTGGAGGATTCTGTTCAAAAAAGAGGAAGGAATCTAGGAATGGCCCAGAAGTGCCCCAGGTCTGGCCTTGGGAATAGATCCCAAAACAGAACATCAAGATATGTGAAAGATGGCAAATCTGAGAAGTCTTTACACACAATTGGAATTGTCCTTACTATGGTCCTTTGCTAGAACCAAGAGATGGGCGAATTAAGTTCCTTGGAGAGCGTTCATGTGATCTTCCTCCAGTCTGGTTTTGCATCCTTCAATTCTCCTTTTCTCCCAGCCCTCCCCCAAAAAGCCAATTTCAAGAAAGTGCCAATTCCCTTCTCAAATGAGTAACAGCCTCTCCACTTTCCTTCCTTCCTTCATTCCTTCCTTTTTTTGGAGCATTTGTGTGTGTGTTGGCCCCTGGATGTGTTCAGTAGTTGACGCAAGCTGTACACCCGACTAGGTCTGCCTGACATTGACCGCCCTTCCTTCCTTCCTTCCTTCCTTCCTTCCTTCCTTCCTTCCTTCCGTCCCTCCGTCCATTTTGGAGCATTTGTGTGTGTGTTGGTTCCCGGATGTGTTCAGTAGTTGACGCAAGCTGTACACCCAACTAGGTCTGCCTGACATTGACCGCCAAGCGTATGGCTCGCAAGAACTGCTTGGTGAAGAACTTGGAAGCTGTAGAGACCTTGGGCTCTACCTCAACCATCTGCTCGGACAAGACAGGGACCTTGACTCAGAACAGGATGACTGTCGCCCACATGTGGTTTGACAACCAGATCCATGAAGCTGATACCACTGAGGATCAGTCTGGTGAGAGCAATTTGTTTGATTGTGTGTGTGTGATCAAGTGCTCCTCATCAGCCTTGGGAGGGTACAAGGTTGACATGCAAAAGTGTAAGAAGTTGAGACATTTACTCTTCTTGGGTAAGGAAGAATGAGAGGGGAGAACGTTCTTCCTAAGCTCTTTCTAAGATCTTCTCATGCTCTCAGCAGTTGAGTCCAGTCCTGTCACCTGTTTGATCACGGAGCCTTGCATGCTTACTCTTCCATCTCCCTTTTTTTCGTAGGAACGGCCTTCGATAAGAGCTCTGCCACCTGGGTGGCCTTGTCCCACATCGCAGGGCTTTGCAACCGAGCTGTCTTCAAGGGAGGTCAGGAGAACGTGCCCATCCTCAAGGTCAGAGCATGACACCCAGTCCTCCATGAGAGACTGTGAGGGCCAGCGAGTTTGCTCTTAGACAGAAAGTCAGGTGGCTAGGCTGAGACTTTCTCAGAAAGGCAAACGTGAGCAAATGGGGTTTCACATCCCTTGTCCCCTTTCTGCCTGACAACAACTTAGTGGTCAACACTCAGAGGAAGATGGGATTTTTATTTTTTTATTTTTTTTTTATTTTTTTTTCGAAACTATTGGGTAATGGGGAAGGAATACAAAAGGCAAAGGGCAGTGGGGGGGATGGAAAAAGGGTTTTGAGAATAAGAAAACATCAAATGCATAATCATTCAATCTTACATATCAGGTATATAAACATCTAATCTATTCATGTTCCAATAAAGATTCATCTTTCTTCTTCTTTTCCTTCTTCTTCTTCTTTTGAGGAAGATGGGATTTTGAGGGGAAGGGAACGGCGGCTTATGGTAGCAGTTGGGAAACTCTGCTGTGAGATACAGCTCAGCAAAGAAAAGTAAAGGATGAAGAAGATACTCTGAAAGCTCCGATTGCTGCCACCATTTTTTAAAAAATGCCCTTTTCTCTTTCCCCACAGCGTGACGTGGCTGGAGACGCTTCTGAATCAGCCTTGTTGAAGTGCATCGAACTCTCTTCCGGGTCTGTCAAGCTAATGAGGGAGAAAAACAAAAAAGTGGCTGAGATCCCCTTCAACTCCACCAACAAATACCAGGTATCAGCTGTGAGAGGGTGGCCTTGTTTCCCCTCCCAATGACGTTATCCTATTCAACAACATTGGGGCGTTGCATACAAATATAATATCTTCCTGCAGCTGAGCTGTTGGAAGAACAGAGACAGACCGCTTACGGGAAGCAGTGTCGTTAATAAACTCCCTCAGGGTCCTCTTTAGTTCTTATTCACACTCTCTAGAAGCTTCTTCTGAAGGCATTCCCCTAGAAATGGCATTTACTCGCACCACATCCAAATTTATTTATAACACTTCATCTCAGCACCATCCTGCCTTCTAGATTCTTCCATATAACTTTACTCCTCATCCAGAAGATATAATGCTTTCTCTTCAGTTCCTATAGTTTTCCAGAATATTTTCCCCCTAGTGTGAGGGATGTGGTCTTACGTCTTGTTCACCTTACAACGGATGAACAAAACTCTTAAGAAAAGGATTCATCTGGCAGCATAAAGGGGTGACCTGGTCAGTGAGTGTAATTTGGACACCACGTCCTTTAAGGCGAGAAGTTCTGTCGGGAAATTCATTGCCTTGTCAGACATCCCATCCAGACGAAGCCGCCCTTAATGGGTCTATCTTCGCACGTCAGTTATTCAAGAACAGCCTTTTCATTTTGTCAGGCTGTTCTCCCCTCTGGGTTTCAAAGGAATACAGAGTCAAATCTCTGAGCTTTTCTGTGCTCCGGTAGACTTACTGCCTCACGCTTAGACTACAGCCTTTGTGACAAGATGGCCGACAAGATTATGGCTTTCTTGACAAGTGGCTTACATGGAGCTCTCAAGCAGTTTAACAACGCAGCAGCTTTGGCTGTTCCTGGATCAGAGAGTTAGATGCCTAGTACTTTTCTTGTCATGAAACCCCATCCCTGGTTACAGCTACTTCCTAGCCCACTTTCTCAAATTGGAGTAAACCTATGCAGTGGTGTCTACTAGATTTGGTTTTATTTTCAGTGGAGGGCTGCACAGTGGTCTGTTAATATAATCTGTGTGCACAGCACACACCATTAAAACATCATGCAATTGTCTGGGAACAGAAAAATAATAAATACATCTAGGATTCTTGGGGGGAGCAAAGACCCCCCCTTTTCCCTCAGCAGATACCTATGCACATAAAGTGGTTGGAAGTATTGTAATTTTCCAACTTGAGTGAACAGACAGATAACCATCATGCACACAGATGCCATAGTTATTAAAGCAGTGGTTCCCAACCTTGTTCTCGGAGTAAAATTCACTACTAGCCGTGTTGGCCAGGATTTCTGGTACCTGCAGTCCCAGAACATCTGGGGACCCAAGGTTTGGAACCACTGTATTAAAGCCCAAGAACATGGCCTCTTCACCTTCCAAAACCATCTGGGGACCCGAGGTTTGGAACCACTGTATTAAAGCCTCTTCACCTTCCAAACATGGCCTCTTCACCTTCCAAAACAACCCATGACAAAATTTATTTCATCATAGCTAGAGAAGAAGCATTCTCTTCAGATACTCAGAACTGTTCTATTCTCATTCATCTCTGGCAGCAGATGTCAAATGCTAGGCTACTTAAGGGCTTCTAATATAAGCAGAGCATAAAGGCGCTGACTTCCCCCCCCCCTTTTCTATTTGTCCACAACATTGGGTGTTCACTCAGGGAGGATCACACTTCAGCACATTTAGGGCTCTTGAACAAGAATTCTTTCCATCCATTGCATCTCTCTCAATCTTTCTTTTTAAAAAGTTAAGCGAGTGGGCAACACCATATCCAAAAACAGATAATTGAGTGCAATGGCACTTCTCAAACACCCTCCCCTTGCAAATCACTTAAAAATTTCTGGGGGGACTTCTAGGAACATAGGAAGTTACTTTATACGGGAGTGAGACTACTGGACCATCTGCTCCAATATTACCAACTGGCATCAGCTGTTCAGAGTTTCAGTACTATTGTTTTCCTCTCCCAATTGGGCTACAATAATGCTGGCAAATGTTGAAGTGGCAGGAAAAGGGGGGAAACTAAATATTTACTTCAGAAGGGAAGACACAACCTTGAGTTGAGGAGGGCTGTTAAAGACAGTACATTTAAAGATAGTTCATTTTGGAGGTCACTCACTCATATGGCCATTATAAGTTGTAGATAATTTGTTGGTACCCAACCATAACAAACTGGGAGATCTCTAATATTCCTTGGTGTTCTTCCAACTCATTACTAACCCAACCCAACCCAACTTAGTTTCCCAAATTGGACCCAGTTGGATGTGTTTACGTCGAGATGGGGGTTCCTTCGCAAACCACAAAGCTATTTTCGTTTGGATTATACATATCAAACATACACGTAGCTCACATTTTAATTGCCATAGCTTTCCCTTTCTAATGGAATCACCTGCTTTTGTGAGCAAAGCTCTACAAACATCAGATGTTAAAAGCGTCCCTTCTGTTTCTATATTTGGGACTTGAGGGCTCCGATCAAAACAGCTTTCATCTCTGGCATCAGAAAAAACAACAACGGTAGATCAAATAGAGCTGAGTGTTCATCTTCTCATCTGTTCTGCAGCCTTTCTGCAGACCATAATTTGAAAACTCCTGACATATATTAATCGAAGTTGTGTACCCTGTGAGTAATTTATTTCCATTTGTCTGGCTTAAATGTTCCACCCGTAAGAACATGCCACGTGTAGCTTTCTCCAAAATGTGCCTTCTGTTTTTCAGACACAGATTTTATAAACCTGTACATTTTCCTTTGAGATCTGCAGGGACTCCCTCCACCAGCCCCCACACCCTGCTTTTTAAAAATCTGGGACATTGTCTGCCTGGAAACATGAGACCGGTATAGGGCGATCCCAGCTTGCCTCCTTTCTGCTAATCTCTCTGTATTTCACAGAAGGTTCCTATGGAGAGGACTGAAGGTTCCCATGGAGAGGACCCAATACACTCCCCCCCTTCCAGGATTCTCAGGCCCATCAGCCTTAATCCTCCCTCTTTCATCGACAGCTGGGCAGGATTAGTCAGGATTCCCCATGGGCAAGAGACCGGAATGATCGGTCTTGGTGAACAACTCTCTGTGGAGCCAGAGGGGGTGGTCCTCCACCCCCATGCTATCTCTGTCATTTGTCCCCCCCCCGGTTCAAAGCGTCCCTGCTACGCACAGCACAAAATCTTACCAGGGTGGGCGCAAGATCTCTCTCTGCTTCAGCTGAAGGACAAAACGCCACCTTGACATTCTATATACAGAAGCATACCACACTTGCATCGAAACTTACTCCCACGCACAGCTTGGAAAGGCTACTTTTTAGAGTTATAACGCCTAGAATTCTGCCTTGAATTCTAGAAACCATAGTCCAAAAAAGGTAACTTTTCAACCCTTGCTATCTTTATTCCCTTGGATGGCCGCATGTCGCTCAGAAAGTAGAGAATATGCCGTGAAGCATAGCAGGTCTGTCTTCCGACATATTTCTGCCGTAACATGCACCCCATGATTTTATTTTATTTTTTGCCTGGGGCACCCATGTCACTCTACCCAATGGTAGGGTCAACCCTGTCACTGAGCAGCCCGCCAGCCTAACATTGGATGTGAGTCCAGCTAAGAATTCTGATTCATCTCTTTCAGTTCATTTAAGCCATCCAAGGATCCCAGTATAATGGAAATCAAGCCATCTTTATAACCATCAGATTGCTGGGGGAGTGGGGAGATGCGGATGGTTAAATATTCATTAACCAAATTTCCATAACTAATTTGGAAACCATCTGCAGCGTGAATCTGCAGTGGATTCTAGCTGCAGTACATCTAGCAATACGAAGTGGCTCTCCTCTGCTTCCTGCATGAATCTTTCCAGGTGTCATCATCCACATAGCAAGCCCCTCCCATAATGGTTACCTCCTCCTGCTCTATTTCGCATCTACTGAATGTACTGGACTATGAAGTCCAGTCTCCCCAGACAGCATGGTCACCATTGGGTGGGGATGATGGAAGCTGTTCTCTGGTATATCTGATGAAAGACATTTACCTCATACTTTCCAAGCTCAGCTCCTTTTTCTTAAAGCCCTTGTATCAGGTGACGGCAACATTACGGTGGAGGCTTACCACCTCGCATAAAGAGCTTGGCCCATTACATCTCCAGGCTAGTGCCCAAACAATAGCATTTTGCTCTCTTTTACCCTCAAAATGTCGAAGATGAATATCTCTAGTCCAAAAGAGATTTTTTAAAGACAATAGATCAGCAATGCAGTTAAAGATAGACTGATGTAATAGCGTTCTGGACATACTACATTCTGGACTGGCTCTCCTGTCTTCCACTGCCTCCCAGAGTTGGGTCAAATTCATGCTGGTCACTTGGATGACACTGTCCAGCCATCTCATCCTCTGTCGTCCGCTTCTCCTCTTGCCGTCACACTTTCCTAACATCAAGGTCTTTTCCAAGGAGTCTTCTCGTCTCCTGAGATGGCCAAAGGATTGGAGCCTCAGCTTCAGGATCTGTCCTTCCAGTGAGCACTCAGGGTTGATTTCCTTCAGAATGGATAGATTTGTTCTCCTTGCAGTCCAGGGGACTCTCAAGAGCCTCCTCCAGTACCACAATTCAAAAGCATCAATTCTTCGGCGATCAGCTTTCCCTATGCTCTATCTCTCACTTCCGTACATCACTACAGGAAAAACCATAGCTTTGACTATGCGGACCTTTGTTGGCAAGGTGATATCTCTGCTTTTTTAGATGCTGTCTAGGTTTGTCATCGTTTTCCTCCCAAGAAGCAGGCATCTTTTAATTTCGTGGCTGCTGTCCCCATCTGCAGTGATCATGGAGCCTAAGAAAGTAAAATCTGTCACTGTCTCCATATCTTCCCCTTCTATTTTTAGTCATCTTACAGAGCAGAAAATGTGGCATATGTGTATATGTGTTTGTGTGTGTGAAAAAGCAAGGGGGGAGGGCTCCTGGCACCCCATGGTTATGGCTCCAGGACTCTCTTGAGAGTGTGTTCCTTCCCTCTGCCCTCCCCTACAGCTCTCGATTCATGAAACCGAAGACCCCAACGATAACCGCTACCTGCTGGTGATGAAGGGTGCCCCCGAGCGCATCCTGGACCGATGCTCCACCATCTTGCATCAAGGCAAAGAACAGCCTCTTGATGAAGAGATGAAAGAAGCTTTCCAGAATGCTTACCTGGAGCTTGGAGGCCTCGGCGAGCGAGTGCTGGGTACGGATGCTGAAGGAGGGGAAGGAGGAAGCAGGTTACCTGGGGAGAAATTAGGAAAGGGATGAAGGATGTGCTACAGATATGAATAGGGTGACTGGCCTTCTTTTTCACATGGAGCCAGTGTGGTGCAGTGGTTAGAAGGATGGACTAGGATCCAGAGGACCAACTTTGAGCTAATTGGAGGAGAGGTGCCATATAAATGTGAGAAATACACACCTTTCATGGAGAAAGTAGCCATGAATGAAATTTTCCGGAAACCAAGTAGAGGCAGTTGGTGTTGCTGTTGAGACTGTTAATATGATTGCTTGTATTTCTAAATTATCTTGGCTCCAAAGAAGGAAAAGTGGTATAAATTGGTCTCCACCCAACCGTTGCTATCTCTCGTCTTGTGAAATAGATCAAGGTGTGAGAGAGTGACTGACTCTGTTGTTACCCACTGAGTTTCATGGCCCCTTTGAGGATTAGAACTTAGATTTCCTGGTCCCACCCTCCTGCCCGCTACACCACACTGTGGTCTCTAGGCATTGGGCATTCCAGGCTCTTGAAGAGGCAAGCTGAGTTTTTGCATTCAAAATGGAGAAGTCATGCCCTACAGAGCCATGTTTTACGATGTTGTTTTATCTGAAACGTCCTTCTTGCTCTCTAGGTTTCTGCCACTATTATCTGCCTGAGGAGCAGTACCCCAAAGGTTTTGCTTTCGACTGTGACGACGTTAACTTCTGCACTGAGAACCTCTGTTTCGTGGGGCTGATGTCCATGATTGACCCACCCCGAGCTGCTGTCCCCGATGCTGTAGGGAAATGCCGAAGTGCTGGCATCAAGGTAAAGCCTTGCTCTCTGGCTATGTGTTGAGCTGCAGATGCTGCCAGATGTGGACTTTCAGGGTGTTTTCTGTCTCAGGTGAAAGGAGGTGAAGCTGCTTAGCTGGTCTCTGCTTGCCAGGTGATTGGAAAGTTACTGCTATACATACACTTGAGTAATTTCTAATGAATTAGTTTGTCCAGAGACTTCACCATTAAAAAAACCTCTCTTTGTCCCTGGGAGGTCTGCTGATTGGCCCAAGAGTTACTGTGTTCTCTGTGATGTCACAGTAAGTAAGCCAATGGTATTCTAAGGGGTTGTGGCCCATTGGTCAGGAAGGAGCCCATATCACCCTGGTTAACCGTACGGGCCGCTCTTTGCCAGGCGAGGTGTGCACAGATGTTAAGTTTGTCGAATTGGGTTCGTACTTTAGTAAAATGCTGTGATCCAGCAAGCCAAGCCAGATGCAGAAGACATTCACAAAAGCTTGACATACAGGTTGCGTTCTTGGCAGGTTGTGAACTCGATCATTCATGTCAAGCACTACCACTGATCCAAGCTCACAGGCCTTTCACAAGGGTCCATTCCTGGTTCACCTGAAGGATTCCTAGTTATGGAGGAAAATGACATTAATTATTTTTGTCAAACTGGGAGTCAGAATTTATTGAACCTACGTACCTTAACGATCACCCAAAGATCTACCAGTTCATCTTGATATACAGTGGTGCCTCGCTTAACGAGCACACCATTTAACGACGATCCACATAGCGATCTGTTTTTTCAAATCGCTAATGCGATCGCATTGCGATGTTTTCAATGGCAAAACATTGCATTGTGATGATCGGTAAGTGTTTCACTTACCGATCTTCGCATTGCGATGTTTTTTTAAACAGCTGATCGGCAGTTCTAAAATGGCCGCCAGACGCCCAAAATGGCTGCCGCAACCATTTTCGCACCCTGCCCTCGCTTACCCAGATGGCAAAAATGGTGGCGCTATGGAGGAACTTCGCCGAGCGGTGAGTTTGGGGCCCCATAGGAACACATGAAACTAAGTTTAATGCGTTCCTATGGGGTTTTTTGACCCGTTTAGCCATGTTTTTGCACAGCGACGATTAATCCAGAACGGATTAATGTCGCTATGCGGGGCACCACTGTATCTGATATACCCCTTGTACTTGTCTCAAGGGACCCTTGTACCACCACCACCTTGAACCTTTAACTTTCAGGACAGACGGTTGGAATGAAATGACTAGATAGGCCTTTCCAGTTCACTAAGGAATCTCCTTGGATGGCTTTCCTGTCTTGAGACCTCTTTGGTAGCCATGCCTCTCCCCCTACCAGGTAATCATGGTAACCGGCGACCATCCCATCACAGCCAAGGCCATTGCCAAAGGTGTGGGAATTATCTCTGAGGGCAACGAGACAGTGGAAGACATTGCTGCACGACTGAACATCCCAGTCAGCCAGGTCAACCCCAGGTGAGGGGAGAACAAAAACAGGGAGGGAGGTGGGTCATGGGAGAGCTGAATGCATGGGGCTGAGGGGGTGGGGAGGAAAGAGAAACTGGGACTTGGATCTCGGCCATGGAAAAACACCGCCTGGCTTCACCTGCTTCTCCGTGCCCCACGGCGGGACTGAATCCTCATCTTGTGACAGCAGAAAGAATTTAAGAATTTTAGCAAGGAAGGAAGGAAGGGAGGGAGGAAGGAAGGGAGGGAGGAAGGAAGTAAGGAAGAGCTAGAGAGAAAGAAAGAGTTGGAAGGAAGGAATTGGGAGAGAGAGAGGAAGGAAGGAAGAGAGAGAGAGAAAGGAAGGAAAGTAGATAGACAGATAGATAAAGAGAGAGAGAAAGAAAATTTGAAAAGGAAAGGAAAAGAAAAAAGAAGTCAGATAATGAAGTTTTGGAAAATGCTAGCAGAAGGAAGAAAAACATTTGAGGGAGCCACTGGTTTTGGCCATTTTGTTAGGAAATAGTTCCCTCTGTTTATTATTTATACTATCCTCTCAGTTTATTTGTTTATTAGTTATGTCATACTCTCCCATCTATTTTTATATCGTACTTTCCCTCCAGTGGGATCATGGCCATGTGCATCTCTCCTTTCCTCCCCCGTTTTATCCTCACAACTGCTCTGTGAAGTACGTAGGACCGAGAGACTGTAAATAGTCCAAGATTTGTCAGTGAGTTTAAGGACTCAGGGAGGACTTGAACCCGTCTCTTCCAAAATTCTTAACACAGCCGTCTGTTCCCTACAGCAGCGCAGCTCTCTGTGAAGCTCAACTGGTCTGGGTTTGGCTCACGGGAAAATTCATCAAAATCTACTTTCCGTACAGCTGCAAACCCGTGTGGGTTTGATATCTTTTAAGTGCTATGCCTCCATCCACCACTTGTCCCGTATAAGAATTCTGGGAACTGTAGTTTTATTGAGGTCCCAAACAGGACTACAAGTCCTCCAAATTGAGGGAGTGTTTGAATGTCCAGGAGGTGATTATAAACACTATTTAAGTAGTGTAGAGAGATCTGTTCTTGGAGTTTCTTGGGGCAAAACTGGAATACAAAATGGCATGAAAAAAAAGAGAGAGAAAGAGGTAGTGTAGAGAGATCTGTTCTTGGAGTTTTTGGGGCAAAGCTGGAATACAAAATGGCATGAAAAAAAATGAGAGAGAAAGAGCGCCATATCCAGCAGGCTTCACCAGATGAATTAAGCTGCAACCTCCATCATCTTCAGCAAGCGTGGGGATTCCGCTGGCTCTGCAGGTGGAGTCGTTCCCATCTGCCTTGCGAGAGCTTTTAATGTATCGAGATTACCTAGAGGCAGGGATGGTAATCCTCTCTCTCTCAGTCTGTTTGTAATAATGCCTTCTCTTCCCGTTACAGAGATGCCAAAGCCTGTGTGATCCATGGCACAGATCTGAAAGACATGACCGCTGAGCAGATTGACGAGATCCTACAGAACCACACTGAGATCGTCTTTGCGCGGACCTCCCCTCAACAGAAGCTGATCATCGTTGAAGGTTGTCAGAGACAGGTAAGACCTTAAGAGGGCTACCACAGCTTAGCTCCATGTTGAACGTCTCATTCCTCTCGATCACAGTAACCCCTCTTGGCAAATCCTTCTGTGAAGTTCCACTTTTTTTAAACTCATGAAAAGTTCAGAGAAGAATTTGGAGATTTCCGTTTTAAGGTTACAACTATAGTGGTGCCTCGCTTGACGAGGTTAATTCATTCCAGCGAAATCGCTGCAGAGCGAAAACATCGTCAAACGGAATAAAAAACCCCATTGAAATGCACTGAAAACCGTTCAGTGCATTCCAATGGGCTGAATACCTGCTCGTCCAGCGAAGATCCTCCATATGGCAGCCATTTTCGGTGCCTGTAAAGCGAGGAATCCGTCCTGGAAAACACTGGGGGACCATTTTCTTCAGCTGGTGGCCATTTTGAAACCCAACAATCAGCTGCTTGCTGATCGTCGTAAAGCGAAAATTGGTTCCCGGAGGAGGGAACTGATCATCGTTAAATGAAAAAAACCCATTTAAACCATCGATTTGCGATCGCAAAAACCTAATCGTACAGCGATTTCCTTGTTAAGCGAGGCAATTGTTAAGCGAGGCACCACTGTACCTGAATCCCAGTGGGACCTGCTGGTTCATGGGGTTTATGGGAAGCAAAGTTCAAAAAAAAAGATAGAGGAACTTTTCTAAACTCTCATTCAGAGCATGCTGTGCAGGATAGTATTGAAATGGAGAAGAGAATGAAAAAAAAAGTCTTAAAAATTGAGAAGCAGAGTCAGTGCCAGCCTAAACTCAAGAGTTCACGAGCCTACTTCTCCTGAGGACTGAACTCTACCTTACAGACAAACTGTCATTAGGAGAAGAACTCCCTTAACTGCTGGAAGCATTTGACGGTCATGACCCTTGCAGTTGACCTTTGGGAGTGAAATAGGGCTTTCTTGCAAAAGTGGCTTTGCAGTCACAAAAGTCTGCTTATATCACCATGTCTAGAATATTCACAAATATTTTCAGCTCTAATGAAAGGTTATCTATAACATATAGCTTGGTTATGGGCCTTCAGCAAAACCACATGGTAGTCTTTTAATAGCTTAGTCCCACATCACTGGTGATAAGTGGTACAAAGTTTTTGTAACAGTAAGTGTTTTTCTCCCCCAGTGGAGAGCATTTGACCACATGACTTCCCACCTGCCTCTAAAGATGTCCAGTCCAGGAAACTGGAGGATCAAGTTACCGTTAAAGCCACAGGAATGAAGCTTGTGGGGGGAAAAGGTTTATATTATTATGCTAATGAAGTCCACGTGATGCCCTACAGACTGTTAGGTGTTGTAGCCTAAAAAGCATCATCACGTCTTCTAGTCCATATATTTTCCCTTCAAGGGTTCACGGCAACATTTCTCCTTTATTGGGAGTTGGAAAACTTACTCTTTGGATCACCGTGTCCTATAATTAGCCAGTTGGTTGTGCCGATTATGGTGTTCTGAGAATTAGATCCTAAAGCATGGCTTTCGCAGCCTTGGAATCAGCTCTGCCAAAATCATACCTTCTTGGAGAGGCTGCAGGGGTTAAGTGTCTCCCTAAGGTACTGATGCTACCACCTGAGACAGTGCATTTCTTTCTGGTTCTACCTGTTTCTCTCCCCCCCCACCCCAAATAGGGCGCCATCGTGGCTGTAACAGGGGATGGAGTGAATGACTCCCCTGCCTTGAAAAAGGCGGATATTGGGGTTGCCATGGGCATTGCTGGCTCTGACGTCTCCAAGCAGGCAGCGGACATGATCCTCTTAGATGACAACTTTGCCTCTATTGTCACTGGAGTTGAAGAGGGTAAGCCATGGGGGAGTGTCTGGTGGGGTAGATTGATTGATTGATTGATTGATTGATTGATTGATTGATTGATATTTTTAGTGGAAGGTTGGGCTGCTAAGGATCCCATGGACCAGTGATTATTTATTTATTTTTTATTTATTTAATTTGTATCCCGCCCATTTAAACAGCGTCTACTCTGCTCACAATAAAATGGAATAGATCCAGAGCTGGGGCTATTTAGGGTTGAAGGCAAACCTCAACTCAGCAATCTATAGGGTCCTTTCCAGCTTGGCAGGTCTAAGGTGGTGGTGGTGGTGGTGATGATGATGATGATAACAATCCTGCTCCTGGGAAACAAGACCACATGGACCACCCTGAGAAGGATCCTATGGAGAATAACATCCAGCTATCTCCTGTAAAAAAAATAAATGCACAATCCTCTCTCACAATGTAATGGCCTCCAGATGTGCTGGACTATACTCCCAATCATTTCTGGGCCACATGGCCCATTGTCATTTGGCCTGGAGATGATGTAAGTCGTAAGCCCGACATATCAGGAGCCCATCCTGTCTGGGAAGGGTGGCACAAAATATTCCCTGTGGAGAAGGACTTAGGATGATAAGCATTTTCTGGAAAAGAGTCTAGATGATATCGATAGCACAGATGGGAGTTATTTGGGGTTTGGGGCAATAGTTCCTGGATTCCAGGGGCTGTAGTCTAAAAAACTACAAATAGACTCAATCCCTGGTCTACAGTACAAGCATGTACTGGTTGTCATAGCTTTGCACCTGAGGGGTTCCTTAGAGGTCTTTTAGTCTATCCCCTGTGTCTGTTCTACAGTATATTTAGAGATGTTGACCCTCCAATGAAGGAGAGCGCTGAAGTAGTCTTTTATCCTGCCAAACAGTTCTACTGTGAATTTTTCTCTTAAGTATAGCCAAAAACTGTTTCGCTCAATCGCTCAGATTTTGTCCCAGTTAAGTAACTTTCAGCTTTTCCCAGAAAATCCTTGGAGTTCAATTAGGATGATGACATTTTTCTGTTCTTAGATATGAATCCCCGGGAAAAGGGAACAACAGTTAACCCCATTTAAAACGGGGGATAAGAAAAACAAAACAAAACAGTGCAGTCTCATGGGTGTCGTGTCAAGGGGGGGCAGTACCTCTAGACCCACATCTCTGTCCAAACAAGAAAAGAGCTTTTCAAGGTGCTGAACATATTTAGAGGAAAGAGTTTCAAGCCCTCCAGTTAAGTCCTGGAGCAGATTCATAGCCACCGGCGCTACCGGCATCTGAAGCTCCTTGCTAAATTGTTTTCACTAAGGAATTATTTCTAACATTCTAATGTACATTATATCACATTCATTAGCTAAAGGGGTTGCATCCGTCATTACCCTTTTGTCCGATAGACTGGCGATGATGTTCCTTGACAGCCTCTTCTAGTCTGATATTCTATTCAAGTTTTACTTTGCTTTTGTTCATTCTATATTAGGTCGAAGTTGAGGGGGAGCAGGCAGGAGAGAGATTAGGTGGGGTGTGGAGTTTATGGAAGAATGCCATAGACCATGCCAGTGGATGCACGGGTCCGGCCGGCTCTGACTTCTGGGAATCCTGCTTTCCCTACCTCCCAGCTGTGCCCCCCATCTCTCCCCCTTATGCCCATGTGTCTCCCTCCCACCAGGACGCCTGATCTTCGACAATCTGAAGAAATCCATCGCCTACACCTTGACCAGCAACATCCCTGAGATTACCCCCTTCCTGCTGTTCATTATGGCCAACATCCCTTTGCCTTTGGGAACCATCACCATCCTCTGCATTGATTTGGGCACTGACATGGTAAGTCCCCACCCTGCCCCTACCCCCTAAAAACTCCAGGGCCCATTTATTCCCAAAACCTTTCTCTCTGCAACGCATTCCATGGATGGAACTATGCTACCTGGAATCCATGATCCAGGTCTGTATCAAACTCCTGGTTTATATTAACAGCCTCTAGCATGATAAAGCTGCTCTTAGGCTGTTCTGGACCCCATAGACCAGCCTTTCCCAACAAGGTGTTCTTCAAAAGTTTTGGACTGCAAATTCTACCAGCCCTCCACCTCCATCTAACATAGCCAGTGGTGAAGGACAGAGGCTGGAAGGGGTCTACCTCTTTCCAAACCTTCCTAGCATTTTCAATTTCTAGTGGAGGATCATGGAAAATGAACACCAAAACATTGGGATGACACCCGTTTACACCGACTGCAAATCCTGCCATCTTTGGTCACGCTGCCTGGGGTTGCTGGAACATGTTATCTTATAACATCTAGAGGCATCGGGATTGAAGGCGGCTGCTCTAGTTGGAGTGCTTGGAAAAGTTACTTTTGAGCGACAGAATCCTAGTCGATGTGCTTGATGTGAGATTCTGGGAGTTGCCATTTAAAAATAACAAGACAAAGTTAACAGGATGAAGTTGTGATGGTAGATAACAAAGAGAGCCAAAAAAAATCTTCTCCAAGCCTTGCTTCTTGATTCTCGTCACTCATCCCACAATAGTTTTTCTCCTCCCTCTGCAAAATCTGAAGAAATAGGCCTCCATTGTAAACGTCCAGTGCAACCTTGACACTCACATCCCTGTAAGAATCAGCAGACCTCTCAATTTTCCATCTAGGTACCGGCCATCTCTTTGGCTTATGAAGCAGCAGAGAGCGACATCATGAAACGACAGCCACGAAACCCCAGGACGGACAAATTGGTGAATGAGCGTCTCATCAGCATGGCCTACGGGCAAATCGGTGAGTGAGGAGGAGGGAAACGGTGTGCCCCATGCGCATGAGTGTGTGTGGCCTCAAGAGGGGGACTGAATGCAATTCTTTGATATTTGGTTGCTGGCTCTATCAGGAACGTGGTGGCGCTGTGGGCTAAACCGCAGAAGCCTATGCTGCAGGGTCAGAAGACCAAGCAGTCGTAAGATCGAATCCACGCGACGGAGTGAGCGCCCGTCGCTTGTCCCAGCTCCCGCCAACCTAGCGGTTCGAAAGCATGCAAATGCGAGTAGATAAATAGGGACCACCTCGGTGGGAAGGGAACAGCATTCTGTGTCTAAGTCACACTGGCCATGTGACCACGGAAGACTGTCTTCGGACAAAACGCTGGCTCTGTGGCTTGGAAACGGGGACGAGCACTGTCCCCTAGAGGCGAACACGACTGGACAAAAATTGTCAAGGGGAACCTTTACCTTTACTTGCTGGCTCCAGTGAAAGACATGAATTCTTTTTGCCAGAGTGATATCCAAAAATACAACAGCTGTGTCTGGTTTTGCTTATTTTCTGTCTTTTATTCTGTTCCCACGATCCGAGTGTTGAAAGATTTTAGACATAAGCCCTTCTCCGCTGATTCTGAGGAAGGGGTGAATCCACTCTTGTGTTTTACTCTTTACAAGAGCTTTTCAAGGTGCTGAGCCCCATTCAATAGATTGGATCTCTATCTGAAGAAGATAAAATCTTAACCTGAACTTTGGAGAATCTATCCAAAGTGCCCAGTATATTCTTAGGGACGGGGTTCAGCACTTTGAATAGCTTTTTTAAAAATCCAGATGAAAGCCCAGAATGAATGTATTGCTCCTGTGAAACTGGAGTCAGTGATTGTGTGGGGTTTACTTCTGAGTAGGTGTGGAATAAATAGGGCATGTAATCTGCCAGTTTTACAGCGTGCACTGTAATAATGTTAGTGGCTAACATACAGTGGTGCCTCGCTAGACAGTTACCCCGCATGACAGTTTTTTTTTGCTAGACATTGACTTTTTGCGATCGCTATAGCTATTCGCGAAACAGTGATTCCTATGGGGGAATTTTGCTGGACAATGTTTGGTCCCTGCTTCGCAAACCGATTTTTGCTAGACAACGATTTTGACAGCTCGCTCCATGCTCGCAAAACAGGTGTTTTCAGGACCTAAGCTTCGCAAGACAGCGATTTAAACAGCTGATCAGCAGTTTGCAAAGCAGCTTTCCTATGGCCGGTCTTCGCTAGACAACGACAATTCTTCCCCATTGGAACGCATTAAACAGGTTTCAATGCATTCCAATGGGGAAATGCTTTTTGCTAGACAACGATTTCACTAAACAGCGATTTCAGTGGAATGGATTATCATCGTCTAGCGAGGCACCACTGTATTTGAAAGAAACAATCCCGCTGGATATCCATTTTGCCTGCAGAAGGTTTCCAGGGCCAGTCTGTGACATTTCCACTAATACGTGATGAGAAAGGAAAACCCTATTTTGGTGTCGGATGCCAAAGACCTGCTACAAGTCAGAACAGGCCTTGCTAAATGAGATGGATGAAACAATCTCCCGTTGGTATCAGCTCCAAACAAAAGCAGAAAGGAAAATTGAAGGATTCTGGCACTTGTACGATCAACAAATTTATTTCAGCGGATTGCAATCCACTTCTCAAGAGACAAAGAGTACAATGTTTAAGCCACTAATTAGTTATACCCCACTGTGCATGGTAGAAGGATAGGAGCAAGTGAAACGTGGGGAAAAACATAATTTCCTGTGCCTTTGAATGACTGTCCAATGTGTGAATCCGACACAAGTCAGAAAATGGAACCAACCGCTATAAATATCTCTGTCCTTTAATTACTTAATCTCCTTTGCTCTTGATGGATTAATTTCTCAGTTTACTGCTGCATTTGTCTGTAGCTGAATCTCCGTCTAACCCTACCTATGTAACTAGCTGTCTTTAGGACTAGTTCATCACTCAGTATACTTCCCTTAGTGACAAATCTCAGATTCCCTATTTCTCTGAACCCTCAAATCCCAAGGCTACCAACAGTTATGCACATACAGTTGCAACTACAGAAATTTGCTGTAGTGATATGAGAGAAGACCGGTCCCAAAAAGTTACATGACAAAAAGTTACATCACCAGACGCATAACTGGCACCTTATCAGCTTCCATAACAGGATTTCCTTTCTCATAAATATCCAATATTTTCCTGTTTTCCAAATAACGGCTCACTTGGTCTCTTGTGGCGGGTGAGAAATGCCGAGCCATCTCATCTGCTTTGCAGCAGTTGTTCTTCTTGAATGCTAGAGAGATGACTAATATTATCCACGCGGATCAATGAGGTAATGGCTGGTACGTTCCTATCTGCAGTGCAAAAGCATGTTTTTTTTAAAGGCTAGGATCAAAAAACAACAACAAACGATTAGGATCATTATTGTGGTTGAAACAAGAGTAGCTGAGCGGTGTGACAAAAGGGATTTTCAACCCTCGCTTTCTTTTGCAGGAATGATCCAGGCATTGGGGGGTTTCTTCTCGTACTTTGTGATCTTGGCTGAGAACGGCTTCCTCCCTTCTGTCCTGGTGGGCATCCGTCTTAATTGGGACGATCGGACAGTCAATGACTTGGAAGATTCCTATGGACAGCAATGGGTAAATAGAAAGACGCCCCCCTTTAGTGTCATCAACAAAATTTTGTTTTGGGTTGCCTCCTTATTGGAATGACAACAGATAAGGTTATGCCCTCGAGCCACTGAACCTGGGAATAAGCTTCTTTGAGGTCAGTAGGAGCCTCGTGGCACAGTGGTTAAACTGCAGGACTGCAGGGAAGACTCTGCTCATGAGTTCCATTCTGGGCTTAGGTAGGTGGCTTGAGACTGACTCAGCCTCCCATCCTTCCGAGGTCAGTAAACCGAACACTCACCTTGTGCGCGCGCAGGGGGTGGGAGACTGACTCAGCCTCCCATCCTTCCGAGTTCAGTAAACCGAACACTCACCTTGTGCGTGCGGGTGGTGGTGGTGGGTTGGAATGTGTAGCCTGCATAATTAAATTGTAAACTGCCCAGAGAGCTTTTTAAGTACTATGGGGTGGTACATAAACAGCACATTTTGTATTTGCTTTTTTTTTTTTTTTGCTTTTACCTCTGAGTAAAAGTATATCGGTTGTCGATATAAGTGTTCTAGTAGCTAGAATCCAGAGTCTGAAGCATCTAATGTTGCCTCATACAAAAGCTGACTATGCCCCTGCATTTCTTAGTATATAAAATGCAAGGTATATATCGCCATAACATGCTGAACAAACCAAATCGCATCTAATTCTGGAGATAGGCAGAGTGAAGGCTGATCAGTACTCATTGTCAGAGCTGATGGTACTTTAATAGAGACGGCTTATTGCTCCGATTCAAAATATAGCAGCCTCGTGCACCATATCTTGTGCATTACTTCTCGGCTTCATTTCTGATATCAGATGACTGAAATTTCCCATCCCAAATTCTGGCAGATTACCAGGAATTACATCAGTTAGCCCCGTGTAAGGCAGGCCAACTGGATGCCCTCCAGATGTGTTATTCCTCAGCATGTTTGGTGAGGAAATGGGAGAGGGCCTTCTCAGTGGCTGCTCCTGGACTTTGGAACTCCCTCCCACTGGAGGCCAGGCTGGCCCCCATCTTTGCTGTCCTTCCGCAAGCAGGCAAAAGGCCTTCATCTTCAGGCAAGCTTTCCCTTAATGACTGGCTTGCCTGAATGGGGCTTAAATGGATAATTGTGCCTTACCATTTTGAATGTGGCTTTGATGTTGCTTCCTCTCCACCCCCAGTGTGGTATTTCCTTGATCTTTTTTTAGTATTTGCATACTTACAGTTTTTAGCTTTAAATAGTATCTTTTCATGATGACCTTGGGTCTTTCTTAAGGAGAACAGTGAGGCAAAAATAAGTTTTAAATAAATAAATAAACCAAATATGATATGATAGTTGTTGCGGATTTTTCAGGCTCTTTGGCCGTGTTCTGAAGGTTGTTCTTCCTAACATTTCACCAGTCTCTGTGG